TCTGTATTTTAGTACAAAAAATATATTTTTAAAAATTTAAATTGAGAAGTAAAATTTCCTTTTGAAAAAATTTACAGTAAGTGTACAAATAAGTAAGAAGTTTACAAATAAGTATCTTTGCATTTTAGCATAGGATTTTTTTTAAATTTGAGGTTGACAATTTTCTTGATTGAAATAATTTATAGCAAATGATTTTTTGTATTTTAGCACTTTTTTAAAAATTTGATTTGATGAATTTTTTTTAATTGAAATCATTTATAATTTGTAAAAATAGGTACGAAGTTTTATGAATTTTATGTTTTAAAATAGAAATTTTGTATTTTTTTTAATTTTAATCCAGGAAGAAAATGTCAATAATTGAAATAATTTATAACTATTAAATAATAATAAATTAATTAATAAGTAGTTTTATGAATTTTTGTGTTTTAGCTGATTTAAAAAAAAAATTGATTTGAGGGAAAATTTCTTAATTGAAATAATTTAAAGTGCGTAAAAACAAGTAAAAGTTTTATGAGTTGTTTTTTAACAAAAATTTTGTATTTTTAAAAATTTAATTTGGGAAGGAAAATTTTCTGAGTTGAAATAATTTATAGTAAGTAAAAATAAGTAAAAAATTGTATTATTTACCTGAGAAAGAAACTTCTTAATTTACATCGTTTATAATAAGTGTAAAAATAAATAAGTAGTTTTATGGTTTTTATGTTTTAGCACAGATATTTTGTTTTTAAAAGCTAATTTACAGGGGAAAATTTCCTTTGTTGAAATAATTTATAGCAAGTGTAAAATTGAATATGTAGTTTTATAATTTTTTGTATTTTAGCTGATTTTTAAAAAAATTTGTTTTCAGGAAAATTTTCTTATTTGAAATAATTTAAAGTGTGTAAAAATAAGTAAGAATTTAGGAAGAAAGGACAATTTTCTGAGTTGGTATAATTTATAGTGTTCTTAAGTGAGAAATTTTATTGTTGTATTTTCGCGTACGAAAATTTTTTTATCTGAGAAGGGAAATTTTCTTACTTGACATAATTTGTAATAAGTTTAAAAATAAATTAATAGTTTTATGATTTTTACGTTTTAGCACAGTAATGTTTTTTTAAGTATTGCGTATTGAAAACTTGTTTTACAGTGATGTTTGGGTGCAGGTTTAATATTAATTTTAAAAAAAGTTTTTAAAAAGAGAAAAATAAATGTTAAAGCCTTGTAGGAAAGAAAAATGAAAAGATCTACTTGCCAGAAGAATTTTATGTTTTCAGTTAAGGATAAAAATGAAACGTATGTCGGTCTTCATCGTCGTGATAAGCCGAGCTGAATCAGCCTCTTTCACTTTGCTGGAGTCGTTACAAGCTCAAAAAACACGGCAGCAAAGCAGAAAAAGACAAATCCAGCCGGCTCCCAGGAGGTCGGCGAATCGGTCCCCTTCGACTCCTCGTGTCCAACTGAGACGGGAATAGGAGGCGGCGGCCCCCACCCCCCTTCAAGAAGAAACGGGGGTGATCTGCCCCATGTTAGGAATTGGCCTCCCGGACGATTCCGTTCCGATTTAGACGGCACGTTCGTAACGGATCTCGGATCCGAGGTGGCTCCTAGGAAAACAAACCGTGGCATGTAAACAAAGAGAGGAATGGATCTGGTTTTTTCTGACTTGTGGATCTTGGACTTTATTTAAAGAGGAGGAATGTTCGACGCAAACCTACGCCTCTTTGGGCTTGAGATTCGTCATACTCTTCCTCAATAGAAAGAATAATCGTTCAATACTAATCTTGACTAATAGGATGAATCCAAACCAATCAAAAAACCACTAAACCACTGTTCATAAAACCCGACAAAAAGATTCTCTGCTTAGCGTAATAGAGAAATAGAAACAAATGCCTTTTTCGTATTCCATCTTCAAACCTCTTAATCTCTTCCAAAAAAAAAAAAAAAAAAAAAAAATAGATCCTTCTTCGCCATTATTTCTAATAAAGCTAATTTTAATGGTTACCATTATATCCATGGAACCTCACACTGAATTTAAAAAGTCCAAGGATATGGTTGTTAGAAAAGGTGGTCTCGCTGCTAATGATCTGTGGTATGGTATGGTATGGTGATAAGGATACTAGGAAGTGGGGTTTATGCTCTCCAGGCACTGCAGCCTTCTGGCTTATTGTACCTTCCTAGTTCCTCAGTTCAGTACAATCGACTCAATCCTTCTCCTTAGATCAGGTCAAATGACTGTCGCTGCTGCAGTTTGATTCCCTAAGTTTTTTCCATACGTTAGGTTAAATCTCCATTGGGCTGTTTCTTCGCATTCGAAAATGATATGGGTGGCTGTTTCCTTCTTCTCAATACATAATCTGCAGATGGAATCATCGTTGTATATGCCCATGTTGTGTAGATGTTTTCTCAGATGCCTAATATCCTAACACTCTTCTGGGTTTAGTCCTCTCCAATTGCAGCAGTGAATTTGCCAGTTTTGATGAGGACTTTCAGTTTCATCATATGTCAACTGTGTCTAGCGCAGCTAGAGTTTATCCACTTCTCCTTTTGTTTTTGGATCTATTCTGCGATAGAGGATTCTATATTTGTTTTTATTATACCAAGTATAGGTTCGGCGCCTTTGTACGGTCTTGCAGATCCTCCTCTGGCCAGTCTGTTTGCTTTTTTTCTCAAAATTCCTCTGTGCCCAGGCACACAAGATATCATCAGGTTGTTGTGTTTCTCCAGGTTTTGGAGATTTTGGATCTTTCTTTTACATAGGGATAGGGAGAAGAGAGGGGGCCACAAGGCCTACTGCACCTCGACCTAAATAAATCTATTGTGCTCTTCTGTTAATAATAACTCACTGGCCATCTTCAAGCTATTAATCAGCCTCCAGAGCTTTGCCAGCGGTTCCTTGGTATAGGATCTTGCTTTTGGTTTTTCTTGTCCGAGTTGCAAGAACCTGCACCTACATAGACCTTCACAGAAACATAAAATGTGTTCTGCGGTCTCCTCCTCTTCCCGGCAGTATCTGCACAGTGTTTCTTCCGTCTGTACTCTTATCCGGTGCATGTGCCTTCTTAAGTGGCAGTGCCCTGTCAGGAGTGCAACCTACATAGACCTTCACAGAAATATGAAATGTGTTATGCTGACTCCTCTTCTTCCCGGCAGTGTCTGCACAATGTTTCTTCTGCCTGTACTCCTATCTGGTGCATGTGCTTTCTTAAGTGGCAGTGCACCGTCAAGAGTCCAACCAGAATCCTGGTTCCGTTGCGGTTGCCTTCCAGTAATTCTTTTGCAAGTTTTGCGGATGGTCCTTCTATGAATATCTTCGCGTGCCTCATACCTGTGATATTGTTCCACCAGGTTTTGAACTCATTTAGGATCTAATTTAGGATGTATCCTGTTTTGCGGCAGGCTTCTAGGCCGCAGTAGAGTTCTGGGCCCATAGAGCCCATGTTGGCTCACTTTTTGGCCAACATGTCAACCTTTTCGTTGCCTCTATGCCCCGAATGTTCAGCTTTTCATGCTAATGCTTTATTGGCTGCTTGACTATCAGATCTTATGAGGATTTTTTTGGCAGTGTAATCTCTTTTAAAATTTTAGTGTACAAGGAGGCATGTACTTATGCTTGAAAAACCGAAATGTACTTCCTTAATGAGTTTGATTGCTCACGTTTTGGGCTTGACCAGAAAATGCCCGATCCTGCTCCTCCGTTTGTTTTGGTTGAGACGATTATTAAATTGGATGAAACGATTATTAAATTGGTTGAGATTATTGGATTTAAACCATGCTTGTATATTCTTATATTTTTTGCAGCCTTTTTTCTTTTGTTGTAAATAAAAGTATTTATTTATACACTTATACGAAGTATTATAAAAACCGAAAAAGCACTATCGATTGACAAACAATAATCAAAGATTTCAGTAGATAGATTTTTTTGGATTTGCGCAGAGGTTTTTTTGATCAAATTTTTAAAGAATTATATAAATATTTTGCAAAATATTATGTGAAGATAATGTATAGTCGTTCTTGTTTTTAGAGTATTTAAAGACGAACAGTCTGCCCTGGCTGACACAGCCAAAAGTTTTTACAGTCATGTTTCACAGTCGACAAACTATGTTATAAGTGTCCCAAAGTCGGATGTCTTCTGATCGTAATTTTTTTTAAAATTTTTGGCTCATATCTTCCTCGAATTTTATCACCGATCTGGATAAAATATTCGACCATTTTAAACAAAAGAGCTCCAAGAAATGCCCGACGCCGACGGGCAAACAATTCTATATCTATTTTCGTGTTATATGCAAACTTTTGACAGACAGGAAACAGATCTGGAACATATCCGCGGTGTGTTTTCCCCCTGTAACTTTGCCAGAAAAAGAGCCGGCCGGTTTTTCTGCCGATTCGGCTAGATTTGTTTAATCCGTGTTGAAAATAGCATTTGGGGTAGGTGTGGCGGGGGTGAGGCCAATTTGGCGAAATGAAAACCAATTTTTTTACTTTGCCCTTCCGGCCCTTGACAACCTTCGGATCTTAAGGGGGGGTGGGATAATTCGATAATTTGAAAATGAGCCAATTCCGAAAAACATCACGCGACTTTAACCACGAGGAATATTTTTCGCCATAAAAAACCCAAAATTGCAATTATTATAAGTTTTTGGTTCATAATTTCATCACTCGTTTAAAAAAATACCATTACTAAATATTATGGCCAAAAAGAAAACAAATAATTAATAAGAAAAGAATCACAAAATCTGAAGATTTATAAAAAAAAGAGGAGTCTCTCAAGGATACGATCTTTCTATCGTGAGTAACATTAAATTCCATCTAGATAAAACCAAATATATTTAAATCAACTCGTACATTTTGAAAGTAAAACTTCAAACTTTATTTCGAAGAAAAATGGATGAAATTTATCCAAACTTTAATGAGTGGACTTAAGAAGGCAGGGGGCTATATTTAGACTTATCGACGAAGTCCGACCACCCTTCTTCTCGAAATTCGAACAGTCTGTTTAAAGTTAGAAATAGTTGGAAATTACTTAGAAGCTTTAGTCGGAGGCCGATTATCCGCTGATGATAGGCCATGGCGTGACTACCTGTAGGATCAACGGCCAATCTAACCTTGCTTCTTATCGCAGAAGGAGAAGTTTGTGTCTGATGAAGGTGATAAAGAATAGGTAAGATTTAAACGTGAACAACCTTTTCGTCAAACCTCTGTACTTTACGAATTTATAACGGATTTTTTATGATCGATTCCTACTCATCCGTTATAATCTCCTAAAAGTCGCCTCACCCTATTAGAAGACTGGTACCGTAAATGGAGAATCAAAGTGACATTCACTTTGTCCTCCTTGACATACTGATACCGACTGCTCACATAGTATGAGCCATGGATGTGATAAAAATATGACGTGGAAGGTACACACTCCTCTAAAACATGACATGAACCGCCGTTAAAAATTCTTTTCTTCTTTTTCTAACCGTTCGGACTTCTAATTGGAGAAGGCACTTGGTAATGTTTGGTAACCTTCCTAGTAGGTAGCCAAACGGATCTTGTGTGGATAAGGATTCAAGGTATGACTGGAACTGAGATAAACGGTATTTGGATAATGTAACATAAGTGAGATGGTTAAATGTTAATGGTTACTTAATATTATTGAAAAATGGCAAAAAGGAGGGAAAATTCGAAAGGTAGTTTGATATGGGAAGTTGGTGTCCGAGTGGATCGCAGTCACCATAGCTCAAGTGGTAGAGCAGCGGTCGTGGGTTCGAATCCCTCTCGTGACACTGGCTTTTATATTTCAACCAATACGTTACATAAATATTAATTAATTAATTGAAAGAAGTTATTTGGTCAAACGGACCACGAAATATAATCGATTTAATATTAATCTTAATTTTAGATGTTGTTATATGACTAGGGCGACATCTTCCTGCAACGTGCTAAAACAAAAAAATCGATGCATCGATTTCCTTCGGTTTTTCACTTTCTCAGTACAACGGTTGCAACTTTAATCACTTATAATGTTCCTAACCTATTAGAAATGTATAAAATTGAAAAATGAAAGAAAAGTTATAAAACAACTTAGTCATTTTTACTTTAAAGCAATAAAAAGCGAGATATAGCCTGCAATTACCGATTTTCATTCATTTTTTAACCTTCTGAAAACGGTAATTACAACATAATTAGCTTATATTTGTAATGAATTATTATCAGCGATCAACGTTAATAAATTCACCGGGTAGTTAATTAAAATATTAAGCAATGGAAGTAAAAAAAATATAAAAAAAATAGCGTAGTATCGATTTCCTTCAAATTTCAACTGTGTCTGTCTATTAGCAGGTTAATTGAAAATTGATTGCTCTGCGACTCAACGAGTTTTAAATTAGTGGTGGGTGAAAAAAAGGATATATATGAAAATCATGATCATAAGATCAATTTTTATTGCTGAGTATTCTAGGTGCAATAAAAATAAATGTGATTTGCCCCCTTGTTAAATGGAGCAAAGGAATAACAGATCGGTTGACACTTAGCAAGTTTTAACATTTATGTAGATTAAATTGGGGTTTAATTCATAAGAAGCAGCCTTTCTTAGCAGTAAAGTAAGGAGCTAAGTTGATGCGTAAAGACCCGACTTGGTTTTATTTTCTTCGCGATACCATCTCGATTCGGTTAAATGCACTTAAACGCCCTGCGAAGGATTGATTTTATGTGGGTGTTTTATAGGTTAAGAACAGACCTGTCGTGATTTCCGCCACCCCCGGAGGCGAGGATCCGGGCGATCTTCGCGTGTTCGGCCCAGGACGGTCGGCCAAGGGCGAGTCGTCACCGCGACGATGGAGAAAAGTTCAGCTGATGGTTTGCAAGTTGCGTGACTGCCCTTGAGCGATTTTAGCCCTTCGCCGCCCCCGATTTGTTTCAGTCGCCGCCCCAGACCCGAGAAGGCAACAGCAGAACCATGACCGCCGCCAAAACCCGAAATCCAAGGTACACCCAAAAACTTCGACAATTCATTCTTAAAAAAAAGTTAAAAAATAGTTTTAGAAAATATACATAAAACATATATTTGAATAATATCACCGTCAATTTTTATTGATAAATTATTATATACAAATTAAAGAACTTAAATAATTTTCACACAGAAGGAAAAGAAAGCAGGACAATGGTGAAATGTGATAAAAAGGAATATCGATCCACCATCTTTACATGAGCATTCACCTTTTCTCATCAAAAGGGGCTCTTGAGCTTTTAAAAGCGCATTACACATTCTAATAAAATACAGAAGCCGTGTAAACATTAAATAAAATTGAATCCGCAAACATGCAAAACGCCAAAAAAGTCCACAAGTGCAAAAGTTGGATGATTTATCGATTTATCAATTTTTTTAAATCTTAAAAAAAGAGATCCTTTCATGAAGTTAACAATATTGATAATAACAATTGTTATATTTAAAGTATAAAAATTGCATGTTAGACTATATCGATTCTGCCCGACGAAGAAAAATATTCGTCCATAGATTTAAAAAAATCATTAAAAATAAACAAAACTATAAACTACTCTATAAATAGTACGACAAGGTTGTACGTTTTATGAATAATAACGCTTCATGAATTTTTAACAATGCGCTTTTATTAAATCAACTGGGAAAGAAATCAATGCTCTCGATTTGTTATTACTAAATTTGACTAATCCTTAAATGATCTCGGACTCTGAAGATTAACCGAAGGAAAATTGTATCTTAGTACTTTTATGTTAATTTTAAAATAAATAAAAACGTTCATAAGGACTAGTGTAGAATAACATAAACTTTGTAATAAGTTTAGGAAACAATCCTGATTGAAACAACCACTTCGATTATGCAGATTGTTTTTATTTTATTTTGTTGGAATGATTTAAATATATGAGAGAGAGAGAGAGAGAGAGAGAGAGAGAGAGAGAGAGAGAGAGAGAGAGAGAGCTCTATAAAGAAATATCAAATTATATCATGTACAGAAAAAAAATCTTAAGAGATTGTAGAAAAATTTCAATTAGCAATAAAATGGTCATATTTGGAAAGATACCGTAGATGTCGCTGATATCGTGCTATTTTTTTAAATACGGAATGTGTGTGTGTGAGAGAGAGAAAAAAAAGAGAGAGAAAGAGAGAGAGAAAAAGAGAGAGAAAAATAGATAGATAGATAGATAGATAGATAGATAGAGAGAGAAAGAGAGAGAGAGAACTTTAAAAAAAATCAAAATATATCATAATACACAGATAAGAAATTTTAAGAAACAGTACAGAAGTGCCAATGGTAATAAAATAGTCATCTTCGAAAAGATTCCGTAGATGTCGCTGATATCGTTTTCCTAATTTGCCCTCACTTACTTTCTCTAATAATACTAATATAATATGAATTAAGAGAGAGAGAGAGAGAGAGAGAGAGAGAGAGAGAGAGAGAGAGAGAGAGAGAGAGAGAGAGGAGAGAGTGTGAGAGGAGTGAGGATGGATAGGGGCATGCATAGGGCGATACTTACAAAGATAGAGAAATTATTCCACATTTTAAAGAAATAAATATTCAATGGGAGGGAGAGAAAGAGAGGGAAGGAGAAAGAGAGAGTGTGAGTGAGAAAGAGAGTGATGACGGAAGGGTGGAGAGAGAAAGTTGCTAAGTAAGTAAATATTAATTAAAGGAGGGAGAGAAAGAGAGGGAGAGAGAGTGAGAGAGAGATCGTGAGAGGTTGTGAGAAGAGCAGAAAATGGAGCATTACATACATAGGTAAATATTGATAAATGTAGAGAAATGATCGATAGTTAAATAAATATATATTGAATAGTTCTCATTAATGATTTAATTTCTTAACACAATCCTTCTGTAATTTTTAGTCCAATTTGAATTATGTCACAGAGAGTTTCCTCGAATTTTCGCCTGGCAGTTAGGGCTATGCCGTCCGCATATCACTGACAGTTTATCGCTTTACGATCCAGGTTTTCGAGCAGTTCATAAACTGTTAGGCTCCATAGAAGAGGTGATACCCCTCCTTGAGGAACTCCTTTGGTTGTGCTGACTTCTATAGTGTCTGATCCCATATTTGTTTCAGCTTTTCTAGTTAGCATTTCTCCAATCCATTTCCAGTCTGGTCTATGTGTTTTTTCTCTAGGGAGACTTTCATGAGATGCATTGTCGAAGACTCCTTCAATATCGAGGAACGCGCAGATTGCTGTTTCCCTTCCCTTTAGATCACTTGTTAACTGGTACAGAGCAGTTTCTGTTGATCTTCCTGCTCTGTATACATGTTGACAGTGATGTAGAACATATTTTAAGGTTTTTTCGCGTGATTCGAGGTAAGTTTGGGGTAATTCGATTTTCCACTCGTACAAACTGTAGGAAAGGGGGACATTGTTCAGTCCGTTCCTTCGATTTTCAGCTTTCAACCCCGCCCGAGAGTAGGGGCATTTGCAATTGTGATTAAATTCGGGGCCATCGGCCTCCTGGCTTCCGGATCATTGAATATTTGATGTCCGGGTTCTCAGGCCGATCCGAACCGACGCGACGTCGTTGCACACTCTAAATTAAAATTTATGTTAATTAACCAATAATGCAAAGTCCAGATAATATCGTCGCATAGAGAAAGAAATTATGCTGATTTCAGGGTTTTTTTTAACCGTAGATCTATTTGAGAATAACATTGGAAACGCCCGAACCTCTCCCGATTTAGAACAGGACCAGAAATAAACACGAACCGAGAAGAAATTAGAACTCTAAAAGAAACTTTCATTCATTAACAGCCTTCTTAATGCTTGCTAACAAGCTTCATTATTACGGTTTAAATCATTGTAACCTTTTTTTTACTTTCACAACGATAACAAATATTCTAAAGAAATCTTTGTCCTAGGTGTTTATTATACAAAAATCTATATTTTATACCTATAATAGTTTATAATATTGAGCATTAAGTGTTCGAGATTATATTAGCATAAATTTGTATTGTATATTCTAGTCTGTTTATACATACTTCCATTTCTGCTCGTGTTTCCACTTAATGTAGAACAGTTCCTAAACAAAACGCACAAGAAAACAATACAGAAATAGTACTTTGAAAATAAATAGCGTCAACGGAAAGAAAAAACAGCAAGACATAGATTTAAAACTATGGTCCCAAAAATAAAACGTTGAGATAGTATAGGGGAGAAGGAGT